AAATCAATGGAAGTTGAACAAATTTTCTTATTTTTCAGCAATAACCAAATTGTCAATATATCGACTGTCAACAAAACAGTGATATTCTATACTATATTCTATGCTATATTTTTTGGTATATATAAGTGATACAAGTTCTCTTGAATAAAAATTTATAAGGAACAGCGTTTTAGGAAGATAAAATTATCTGAACTATAGCAATTGCAATATTTCCATAATCACAGTAAAAATTCACTTATTTTTGACACTCGACTTAATATTCAACTTCAACTCATTTGACACATTAATGTCATGTAATTAATCAATGAGATTGTTATTATTGTTTTAATTTAAATTCATAATTTAAATTCTAATTAATCTATGAAATTTCACTTTCGACAATATTCTTTTTGTCACCCGATTTTAAATCTCATTTTTATCAGACAGTCAAAGTCTACTTTACTCGAGCTCTGTATATAACTTGAACTTGTTTTTAAATCGAGGTTATTTTTATTAATTTTTACGATCAGAAATTTGGTTTGATTTTTTTTGTATAATGAAATTTGGTTCTAAAATTAAGAGTAACTCTAATATCTGAAGAAATTCAATTGTGTTAATCTAATATTCAATTGCGTTTGTTCGGCGTCAAGTTTATGCGCTTAATTTAATTTTATAATTAAAAAATTTTTTTAATATTTAAATAACAGAGCCAACAATAGAACATTTTCTAATATTTTAAATAAATTGCATAAATTTCTTAAAGAAATCTTAAAACTTATATTTCAACAACGTTGTCGCTTTCGTGCCAATATGCTGGCGACCATATTATTAAAAAATATTTAAATTTTTTGCAAAATTATTCAACCGCACACTATTATTATCATATTATGTATTAATTAATTTTAGTCAGAAGAACGCCACCAAGATTTCCTTATACATTTTTATAATTATAATATATTTAAATAGTATAATTTAAATCTTGTCTCATATTCCTAGAATATCATTTTAACTAATTATATACTTGCACCTAGCACTTAGCGTATATCATAGTTTAACATTTTAAAACTTGTACTATTAAATTCTATTTTAGTATTTTATAAATCTAAAAAAAAAATGGTATAAAAATTCTTTATATCTACATCTAAACCATTTTATATACATATAACAAATTAATTCGTGTCCAATTTTGAAAATTTAAGTTGCGGCCTTGAGAGTAACAAAAATGTTTAAATAAAAATTGACATTGAAAGTAAAAATTCGGACCATAATACTAAGGAGAAACAAAAAACAGCTAAAATATTTTTATCTAAAAAAAAAAATTTAATTTAATTCAATTTTAATACCAAAAGCTTAACACCATATTTAATAGACACTATAGCCACTGTGTTGTGCCAAAATCTATTGATAAATTTACAGATTTTTTTTGATTTTTAATTAAAGCATTCACAATAAGCAATAATAGTAGGTAGGTACAGTAGAAACGTTGCAGTAGATAAAAGAATGATGGTAATTTTTATTGTTATTCACAAAATATAACAAAAATAATTAAATTGAGAATATTGAAAAGTGAATGTCAAAACCGGCTAAAAAAAAAATAATTTTTTAAACTATTGACAACATTTTACCAATTATACCGTTAACAAAATAAATATGTATAAAAAAAAGAGAATAAAAACATATTGCAACACATCGCACTCTTTAATTGACATTGAATCAAATTTTACAATTATCATGCCAGAACTGAACGTGTAAATATGTTTGTATGCCTCTTAATAAATAAAATGTTTATTTCTTTAACAGAACATTTAACATAGAAGCCCAATAAGCCTTTGTTGTAGTAATTTTTTCTTTTATTATTATTTATGTACTCTGTTAAATTTTTAAGCATATTTTGGACAGGAAATTGACTAATAAATTAAATTTAAACTATTTATTCGTTTTTGCGTTCACTTCGTGTAAAACATAAATGCTAATGTGCAATTGCGAATTTATCGTATCTGTCCAAAATCTTACTTTTTTAAACAGATGTTATGTTATAAAAATATACTGCACATTCTTGAAAAAAGTCAGTCACACAGTTATTTTTATTTTAAACTTAATTAAATTTTGAACAAATATATAACAGCAAAATTCTATTTATTCAGTTCAGGTTTTATATGTTGTACAGTAGAATCTCAACAAAACTAATATTTTGTATAACGGCATTTCCTACTTAGGCAACAATTTATATTCCACAGTAACGTGAAATTTTCTCTTAGTTTGGTTTTTTATTCTAGGCACTCTATATTAAAAATTTTCTGCTCCAAGAACAAAACTTATAATATTCAACTTGTAGACACTGCACAATTTATATACTTTGTTCACTGCCATAAAACTAGTAAGTGTATAATTTAATATTTAATCTTTAAGGTGTTAATTATTAAATCCACAAACCTTCGAAACCCAAAATCTTTATAAATTAAAAGAAAACGTCAACATTATTTGTAAACAAATAGATAGTTAGGTATGTATTAGAAAAGAAATATTATTTACATCTCCCAAATATATGCAATTTTTCTGAAACTTTCATATCATCTTTCTAATTTAAGTTCAACAAAACGTTGTAGGGATTTGATTTCAGTTTTCAACAACTTTCAAGATTAATGAGAATTGGCTTTAGATGCATTACACTACGCTTTACAATTTCAAGGAGAACATCAATTATTACAGTTTAAAATAACATTCTGTTCAATGCCCCTAAATATATGCAATTAATTTTTATGCTTGTAAATTTTTATACATTATAGTATTTTATGAATTCTTTAATTTTGAATACAAAATATTAGATCAATCAATTATTTTCTTTTAAATTGACCCTGTCAACTTCACCAACTTAATTTACCAACTTAATTTTTATACATTCAAATCTAGATTTCGACACAACAGGAATTTTTTAACAAGTTTTTTCACTTTAAATTAATTCAAAATTACAAATTATATGGGGTTGAGGTGTCAATAAAAAGCCTGAATTAAAAATAATTATTAAAAATAAATTATTAAAGAAAATGTTAGCACACATTTACGAATTATAAAGGGAAAATAGATTTGATTTATTTCATGAATAATTGCTGACACTGCATGCGTTTAAAATTTGTAAGAGAGTGATTTAGTTACGTTATTTTTTATGTTTTCTTGTTAATGTAGGTGTGTTTTATGTACTTGACAAAACCGATTAAAAATTTTCAAATGTCATGAATTATTTAATAACATTTTTATTTGCGCAGTGCAATTTTAATATTGTAATTTTTAATGAAATATTCATAGAAATAGTACATAAAATAATATTTATAATTAATTATTAGATCATGCATCAACTCGGAAAGGGTAATAAAATATATAGAATGAGATTATGGACTATACCTACGCATTTAGACCACCTAAAGTATTTATTAACCCTTTAAGGAATTTCGTTAATTTTCTTTTAATATAAATTTTGCATTGGGATTTACGGTCTCGAGATCAAAATACCTAAATCGAAAAAAATTTGTTTCAAATTAAGTTTTCAATTTTTGATGAGTTATCGATCTTGATTAAATATTTGAAGAATAAAAACTTGTATACAGATTATTTCGGAACTAATTGATGACATATAAGACACAAAGAAATTTTTCAGCCTATCCGCTGTAGTTCGCCCAATAATTTATCAAAATTAATTTTAAAAAGCAGAAAATTTCGCTCCCTAGAACCGATAGTTTATAATTTAAATACAATTGAAATGAAGATAAGGTTATTAATTACTGGAATCGTTAACAGAGGCGGTCTATAATCACAATAATATTTCAAAAATTCAAAAAACTCTACACAAGAATTATATGCATCTGAAAAATATGATCAAGTTTGTTGTTTTTCATTTCAAAACCACGGCTTGTATGAGAACAACACACGAATAACTATCTTTGATTAGAGATGATTCATTCTACACAAGAATCAAAACTAAACCATTACACTAAAAAGCTTGAATTGGATAAGGGTTTAATCGTGAGTTGCTCAGAACTAACACAACTCTATTGACTGTCCACACAATTCTATTGAGTAATGGCTTAAGTGTTTGTCTGAGAGCCTGTAATTGGGTAACTCTGAATATAGATATTTAGAGTTAGACCACTGTGATTCCTTACTCTTAGACCACTCATATTAATATTAACAATAATAATAATGGAAAATTTTTATTAAGCCTTAGAAAATTTATATAAAAAAATTTAATATTCAAATTGCAAATTAAATTAGAGTAGATTTCTTGCAACGCATAATATTAATAAAAGTCATAAATTAATAAGAAAAATAAAAAATACGAATAAAAAAAAAAAAAAGAAAATGGCGGTAACAAACATTTTTTTTATATAACCGTGAATAATTTATAACATTTTTTTTTTGCCGTTTTTGTAGAACATTTTTGATTAATAACATTAATGCCATTTGTAATGGCATGTTCTTGCACCTTATAATATCGTACATGTATATATATATATATATATATATATGAAAAGACAAACGGAACCAGAAATAATGTATGCCTTGTAGGTGTTTACACCTGAAAGGCATATTATATATAGTTTACACATAAATATTATTTGTATACAATTGTATGTGAATAACATTTTTAAATGAACGCACGTTCCATAAGAATTATTACCATTTTTAGTTTTCAAAGTTAATATTTTTCAAATGAACGCTGTTAGATGTAGCGTTATCTTTTCAGTTTATGTTGCTTCTATAGTTAGTAGTACTTAAGTTAAATTTCTATTTATATTTAGTATAATTTTTTCTATCTTGAAATGAGGTCATTAGGTGAATTCATTTTTAATCTGTAAGAAAATATTTTTGAACTCTCTTAAAAATCTAAAATAAACGGTATAGGAAAATGAAATAGTGTAGAGGCTAAAAGAATAATTTAATAACTTTTTGGTTAAAAGTTAAAAATAATAAGAAAAAATAAAAAAAAATCATTAAAAATTAATTTTAAAATGTTAAGGTACAAGTGTTGGTGCCCATAGTGAAAGTTAGAATATCTAATAGCATAATTTTTCAATGATTTCAGAATTTTTAGAAGAAATTTTTAAAAGTTTGCCAAATTGAAATTCTGTACATTCATTTTCTGAATGAAAAATCGTAACGGATTCTTCTGCAATTTGTAACGGTAAGCTGTAAATTATTGATTGACGTGGTGAGCATTAACAGCTATGATAAATCAATTAAATTACGGATTTAAGAAAGAAATTTTTAAGCAGCAAAATAATGATTTTGTAAAAAAAATTGTGGTACAGTTGATTTTTAATTCATTTTTACAATTCAGATTTAAGAATTTATGTATTTTTGTAAGTATTATTTAGATTGTTGTCCTCATCTGTGAATGAACCAGTTCAATGCAATGCAATTTTTATTAGAATTACAAGTACCTATAGTAACTTAATTGCTATTGACAAGTTTTCATAAACTCCGAGAACAATGCAAAGTGAGCTATTTTTTTAATAAATAACCTGGAAAAAACAAAAAAAAATTAGAAAGTAAAAAAACAAATGTTAAAATGGGAAGTCTTTGTCTCTCATCTAAGAAATAGTGGAAACTTTCGAAATTTTTTTTTTAATTTTAAATAATAATAAAATTTACTAGAATTCGGACTAAATCTTTTTTAGGGGAATAAAAATAACAAGCCATCCATAATTATCTGTAAAACAAACACCTGATATAAGTTTTTATATAAAGTAAGACTCCGGAATTATTAGAATTTTCATTTGTGTAAAGCAAAAGTCTGGAACACTTTGTTTTCAACAAGACCGAAAGCACCATATCAGTACTCCTACCTCCTCCGTCAGTTTATATTCTTACAGCAAATTTATGAAAAAATCAACATCGAATTCATCTGCTATAACGATATAAGAAACACCCCGTACACGGTTTTTATTTCAAAACCCTTTAAATTAAATATTGATACAAGTTCCACGTGTGATTAACAATTAACATTTCACTTACACTTTGGTTTAAATCTAAAATGCCTTTCATTTAAATAGTTTTATAAAATCTGCCTGTAATATTTTTAACATTTTTTGTTAAAATCTGTAAGTTTTTAACATTTTCATAAAATTCAAAAAATAATTTTTATATTTCTTAAAATAGCAAAAATAATTGGAAAACAAATCAAAAAATTTAATAAGGAGAAAAACCTCGACAGCTTATTTAGTGTAAAAGGAAAATCTTTTAATTTTATTTAAGTGTTTACACAATACTTTGTAAAAATTAAATTTTTTTTCCAAATATGACAATTTAAAATTTATTTTAAATTATTGAAATTTTGACATTGTCATTTATTTAAGATTTTAGCTTACTACATACAAGCAAGTTTGTATATCAAACTTTATTCTCACATTTCAAAATATAAAAAAAAAATTTAAACAAAGTAACATTACAACAATATTGAATGTTTCCTATACAAAATACGGAAATTATATTGAAAAATTTTGACAGCAAAACTTCAAAAGAAAATTTTATAAAAAAAAAAAATTAAATTTAATTTTCATTTTCATTCAATGGAAAATCTAAACAAAATTTTCTTTATTTTTTGAAATTGAATTTTAAAATAATTTTTCTAAAAATGGATAAATTATTTACCAAAATTGGAAGAGCAATTTTAAAGAAGCTTTTGTAGAAAGCTGTGTAAATCAAATTATTTAAAATTACAATATTAAATAAGCAAGATGGCGGAAAATGATACATATGTAGATCGAAAACGGAATAAGAAATTCTGTAATTCTAAATAGCAAGACAATGGAAAGGTAAAATTTATTTAGATAAGAATTAAGATTGATAACTTTGTTTTATAAGAAATTTGCATTCGGTTTTTCGTATTCGGTTTGAATACGAAGTTTCAATTCGTCTTACATACGAAGCTTTGATTTGTCGTCTTACATACATATGTACAAATCTGCGATTCATTTAATGATTAACGATAAACAAAAATGGGATGAAGCAACATTATTCTCGAGCCAAAAATTTGATTTATATATAAGCGGTCTTAAAACGTAAATCATCCGTCAAAAAACGCCTTTTTCCAATATTTGTGTGTTTTTGTGACTTAAACCGCAAGCTTATGTAAAATAGAATGGAAAGATAATTTTCGGTATTAGGTACATTCGATATTCTTTATTTTTTTTCTAACTTCTCCAATTTATATCGTCAGATTTATTAAACAAATATTTTCTAAAATAAATTTGTACAGATTAGTTCAAAACTATATAAAAATGAATTAGTTGAGTGCTTTTCTAGAATTGACGTGGCGGCACGAGTTAAGTTTTTATTTCAGTCACTGCCAACTTGGAATAAAAAATTCGAATTTAAGCGCGGCTGCCCCTTGACATTTTCGGGAAGCATAAATTGTATGTACCAACGTAAATTTTCACGCAGTCCTTTGCTGGGTGTCATATTTATTTAGGAACAGCATATTAACAAAATGAATAAATTGGAAAATAAGTAAAATTGAATTACGTACGTATAATTGTATATAGAATTAATTAATTTTTAATTCTGACTTTTTACCTTCGCCATTTTCACCATATTGTATAGAATTGCAAAAATACTTACTAGGTACTTGACATTTTAAAAAAAAATTTTATTATTTCCAATATTTTGTTTTTTATATTTTTTTTAAGTATTAAATTACAATTTTAATATTTATTTCATTAGAAAAACTTACAATACTTTAAACGTGACCTAAATTATGTATGTATGTATTTGAAATAATCTATTAAGATTTCATTAAAAATTTAATTATGAAATTGGAACAAAAACAAAATTCAATAAAAAATTTTTAAAATATTCATTTGACAATTTGAAATTTACACTTGTAATTTAATATACTTTGTTTACGTGTAATTTACTTGTGTTTACATTTAGGTATGAGTGAATGTTTGTATGTAAGTTGTAGTCAAGAAAAGGTAACAGCAGTTTCTTATGAAGTCATAACTAATTTATTTATGTAAATTGCTCATGAATTTTTAAAATGAGAATTCAAGTATTTGAATATTCTTTAATGTCATTAAATTGAAAGTCTAACATAGCAAATCAAATCGAAAATTTTGGAATAAATTCAAAAAGTTCAGTTTGGAAATTTCGAGAGTAATAAAAATATGTATTTTCAATAATATTAACTCGTTCATATCTATTGTACTCATTTGGGGACATTTCGTCTTGCATTCTGTCTCTATTAATAAAATCCAAATTTTTCTCACATTCTGTCTCTACTAATAAAATCCAAGTTATTTCAGAAAAATTGCTTAATTTCATGGTAGCTACAAATGAGTTTTGTAAAATCAAATAAATGTTTTTAGAATGTTCGCAAAATTACTGAAACTCAAATTTTTTCATTCACCTACTCAATAACTTTATAGCATCATCTGCACTTTATTGCAGTAATATTGCTCAAAATATAAAGGTTATTTTTAAACGTAGTCGAAAATATTTGCAATAAATGAATTTATTTCAGTAATTAAAGGTTAATTCCTATCTCCACTGTAATTTTTGCAAATATTTGAATGTTAAAATAAAAATTTTTAAGAATTATCGAATGAAAAAAGTCAACTATGAAATATCTGAATTATAAAATTTACACAATAAATTTGGTGCAGCTTAATATATTTGAGACACATGGTTCGGTTTAAAACGAATCGATGATATTGTTATATTTACTAAATGCACTATGTCTAGTACCGCGTTAATTTTAATTAAGACTTTCTTAAATTTGGTTTTTTAGAATATTTTTTTTTTCATTTCTAACAATTACTTTCCACTAAATTATGTTACTTAATTTTGATGTTCGAAAAATATTTAATGAAATATTTTAAAAATAATTCCACTTTTTTCTTGCAATATTAAAAATTTTCATTAAATCACGTCCGTCTTCTTATTCGTTGTTTTCTGTTATAATAAAAAATTGTAGTCACGATTTTGTCATATAACAAAAATTCTTAAATTTCATTATCCTTTTAAAAGAATCTTTAATATTTTTTTTTTTATTTTCAAAATTAATGAAATGACAAATATTTCTAGGTTATTTTTCTTTTAGAACGAAAACCAAATTGCATTTGTTAAATTAGTTTTTTTTTTTCAAAATCGCACGAATATTCTTCAAATATAATTGCAGATTTTTATCTGTTTACAATTTAATTGAGTTTGAACAGGCAAATTAGTTTGAAGTTATTAAAATTTTAGATCCATATTACGTAAAAAATAGAAGAGCGCCAAGAAACTCTCTTGAAAAATGCTAAGATTTGGACTGGAAATTTAAAGAAAATCCCAATTCAATATTGTTCTTCTTGAGAAAAGTAGAGAAAAAATTTTGAATTCATCTGTACTAATTTATTTTAGAAAATGTAGCTAACCGGAACAGATATTCTTCTCAATCACAATAAAAAAATACAATATCTATATTCAGCGGATTGAAAGAAATATTATAGGATTCGTCTTGGCTTTTAAGGTTTTTGAAAGAGGACGATCCCAATTAGTGGTTCAGTTGGCGTAATCGTTAATATTTTTCTAAAGTTGTGTTGTTGGCATGAGAATTGTCTATTGTTTTATTATTAAATCGTGGATTTCTAATGTGCCTTCTTATTAGGCTGATTCTAGAAGCCGCGTATTTCTCCTTTAGAGAAGAAGTGAGACAAGCACTCACAATAACATTAAATGGTCTTTCGAAATAAATTTTCAATTTGTAAAGAATGAATTTTTGTTCTTATTTAAATCTTATTCCAAAATTTCTTTATTCATTTTTAATTTTAAATTTATTTATGTTCTTCCTTTCTGTATACCTTCTTTTCTGTATGTTTTGTATACCTACGTAACTATTTCCTTAAATTCCTTAAGAACAAATGCTCAATAAATAACTTTCATTAATTTTGTGAAAAATTACAGCAATTGAATTTCATCTTATAAGATTTTTTGAAAATTTCAACTATATCCTAGGTTTTTTTATTTTCTTGAATTCCCGGAGAAATTCTCAAAAATATATTGTAATATTTTATTATTAAAAGAAAACTATTCTGCATATACCTTGTATTTTTACAATGCTATAATAATTTTATAAGAGTTGCTATTTATTTATGTACCGGCTTCCATTGAATAACGCGAAACAAAAATGTTTAGAACTGCTCGAAGAATGCTCAGGAAAACATTTTTCTTAAGCGTTCTAAAAATCGGTATCAGGCTGTAATCATTTTAATATTACAATTAATTATATTTCCCAATAGATGGCAGCAGATTTTTAAATTTT